AAGCTAGCAGGCAATAATTCATGGCTTTGACAAGAGGACTGGTTTCCCCTCTTGCCACCAATTTCATAGAGCCATTCATTGCTCTGTGTTGATACAGACTGTTCTGCAGTTACTTGTGTATCTCCTTTTTCACTTGATGCTATTTTACTTGCAGCTGAGGATATCGACTGACATGCAGATCCCACCGGAATTATTACTGGTACCTTATTGCACAGCTGGCTACCCCTACGGCAGTAAGAGCTCAATGAAAGGGATGCCACACCATTCTCAAACCATTTCGGGTTCATGCTCCAACTTAAACCAGAGCCAACTTTGTCACAACTTTGTTATTGAGTTGCAATAGCAGCTTTCATGAGAAAAACTGAGCAGACACATAGAATTGGTTACATACAACTGCCAGATCTGCTACATGCAAGTCAACACCCTGTGAAATACAGCCTGAGCTTGTCACCAGAACTGAAGGCTGGGCTTTAATTGTAGCTGTCACCAAAATATTGTTTCCAGAGTGAGATGTTTTGGGCTGCAGCTACACATCTTGTCAGCCTAATGTCAAATAACACCTATGTAACTGCTGCTGGCCTCTGTAACTTCCGATTGCATTTTCAATTGGAATGCCCATCTATTGACTTTATCAATAACAAGTGATGAAGCAGCACTCTGCCCAACCTCAAGAGAACTGAAGAACAAGTGCCATATTTTTGCATGAAGGTATAGCATTTATTGAAAGATTCAAAAGGTTTCATTAGATTAATAGAGTAGGAAAAAAAGCAAGAAAAGCCTCAGGCATTCAAAGCACAGTTGCTTAAGCCAGGCTCAGTTTAGTGTCTCACCAGACACTGAAAACACCTGGCTGCTTGGGTTTGATTTCCCATTGCTTCTAACATACACACCATCCTCTTTAATGAGACTGTGGTGGAGAATATTAACTGCAAAGAAAAAATACCACATTGTCCATCGCCCACCATCCTGAGCAGCTCACAGGTGTTGAAGCAGCAGCTTCTCAGCACTGGCAAAGCCCCTGTCCCACACCCAGGCTCCAGCACTCTGCCTGCTCCTGGGGCACCACCAGTGCTTGAGGGATGCTCTGCTGCACCTTGGCTCCCACATCCCACCATCCATGCTGCCAGCAAAGGCTCACACTGTCAGTCCCTGCAGGGCTCCTTTGAAACAGGACTGGAGCAGTCAATGGGTTGTATTAAAAACTTGCAGAATTTCAATACACTGAAAACATTCTCAGTTTAACCCAATGTTCTTTTGAAATGCTATTTGACAATCAAAGAGGGAAAACAAGGAAAGACTTCAATTTTCAGTATTTTATTTACAGGCCGCACAATACATTTTATATACAAATGGCTTAAAATAACAAAGAGTAAGCAAGCTGAAGCATAACAATTTATTTTAAATTAAGTTGTCTCGAAATAACTCCTGCAATAAAGTTTCTTCACCCTGATAAGCAAGTTAATTTGAAGTCAACCCAAGGTCATTTTATTTTTAAATATAGAATTCAAATAGATTTTCTGGCGATTCCTAAATTTCATGACACACTTCTGCAAATACAGAACATCCCAAAACTCTCAAGAAGGGTGATAGCCAAAATTTCCTCATGTAAAAAAAACACTGTAACAGAACAGACTGGAGAAATGTTGTATGTAAAACACTTGCGTGTTTTATTAATGAAAAGAAGAATGCAAGTAGTACATCTGACATTTTTCTCTCTCAGAAACAGAATTCATGGTCCAAGACCTAGTTTGCCTACAGACAAGAGGTATCCTGTGTTACTTCAGTACTTCAGTTTTTAACACACAATTATCTATTAAACTCATCCAACTGTAAACTTCACCATAACTGAAACTGCCTCCACCAAAACTGAAAGTGGAAGGAGAAGAGCGCTCAAAACCTAAGAACTTATGTGGCACTTACTGCCTCTGCTTCTAGAAAGCACCTGACACTACTGTGGGATGAAGAAAATTTGAGACCACATTTTATGGAAACATAAGAAAATACAGACGATTGCCACTGAAAAATTATTTTTCCAAGAAATTATATTAACATTTAAGGATACATGTATTTTTATATCTCTTCCCTAGCACTGCTCAGTCTGCTCAGGATAACGACAACTAGCGATCCATAAAAGTGGTTTCCTTTTCCTTTGGCTAAATTTAAGCATTGTAATAGTCTAAGTGTTTTAAGTCATGGTCATAAGCAGTCCAGTCGTGCTCGTTTTCTTCCTCTTGGTATGCCTAAAGACCACTTAATATAAATAATGAAGTACTTGCTATTTGATAGTCCATTATTACAGTATTTCACTATATTTATTTAGAAATACAAACACACAACACTTACTTTTTGATGTAGTATCCAGGTCTCTGTAGCTCACTTTGGAATCGCAGCACGGAAAACATAAACCCAAAGGAATGAGGGAGAAAGTAATAAAAGCCATGGCTCCACAGAAAAACAACGCTGTTTTCAGAATGCCTACTACTGCATCAAAAATGCAAGAGCCACATGATGTAAAATGCCAAACTAGTACAGACTCTCTGCTGAGTGGAGTTCACACGTAAGGGTAAAATGCTGCCATAAGCACCTCATCGTGTGATTTAATTCAAGAGAAATGCTGACAGGTAATACACATGTCCAGTACAAATGAATGTAGACCTGCTGTCCTTAGATCTGGACAATTCCCTGGCTGCTAATCTGCTCAGACACAATTCCAGGCCAGGGGAGAGTGGCTGCAGGCACTAATCCTCCTGCCACACCATCAAGGGCAGAGCCCCTCACTTGCACCCAGCCTCCATCAGCCCAGGAGGAAAGGCATCAGCAAAAGACCCAGCAAGATTCCCTGGGTTGTAATCTTTTCAGAGTTATCACATATGGAAACACATTCACCTTCCCTCCAAGTTACACTGTTGCTCCAGGCAAATGCAGTGTTCAAAGTCACAGGCTACTCATCTTTAAGCTGGGGAAAAGGAACTGTACAGTACTCATCTGCTACAGCATACCAGATTTTGTTTCTGATTCATCTGGAAGTCAATTGGTTATTGCACTTCCTCTCTCCTCAAAGTCAGGATTGTGTTGAGGTTATCGAGGATTTTTCATGGCCAAAGACTGAAATCCATTCTGGTAGAACAATGTCTGAAAGTACTGCCAGCTCATAAGGAAACTGCACACTCATTTACAGAGGCAGAGGGGACCAACTCCTCTGCATTGAATGAAGCTAACTAAATGACTTGAAAATTTATGTCCGAAAGGGAAGGTAGGAGACACAACTTCTTCCTTGTATTTTTGTATTGGAAGTCAATTATAATTAAGTTCTCTGAGATCTACTCTCCATTTGAACTTACCTGTGTTTTTAGCCAGCTATTGCCTGCAGTTACACTAGAAGTGCAGGTGAGTAACCCCAGACTGCACATCTTTAGTGAAAGTAAGTGCATATAAGCTTTGAAAGTCTTTTGCTTGATTCTAGAAAAAAACAATACAAAATAAAGAGAAACCTGTGTATGTATTTGTGGGTCTGGGTTTTTTAAAGATCAGTAAACAAAGAGCCTTAGCCAACACTGTCCATATCTAAACGACACTAATGATTTTTGTCTTTGAAATTTTACTAGGAGAAAAATGCTATGGGGACGTCCTTACTCAGGGAAAAGACGGTCCAGGGCACTCTCATTCACGTGAAGCTTTTGCCTGTCTTACGCACAGGTTATTCAGGTTGTATTTCTTTCTGACCTGGACAGTTTTATTTTCAGATGGCAGGATTCACAATAGGAATATTGTGTCTAGTGAAGGCAACTGCCAGACTTGGGGACAGTGTAAGCAGCAGAACTCTCTCCATTCCTCATCTGCCAGATCCTCAAACACTACACAGTCAGCAAAGGGAGTTTCTCCATGCTGTACAGTGTGGGAATTAGCCATATATGAATCAAGTTTTTCAATTAAAACGAAACACCAACAGCTTTGGCTTCTATTCTGAAAATCCAAAAAGTCATTGACAAGACATATGTAATAGTGTAAGTAGAAATTTTACTTTTTAAAAAGTAGTATTTAAACACTCAGTTACATAAGGTACCGATTTGTCAACTGGATAATCAGTTGGAAAATTGTTTCCAATATGGGCTTCAAGACATCATTTTACGTACAGGCAAAATAAAACCATACCTCCTCTCTGCAGGAGAGAGACCACTTGTTGCCAGAGGAAACAAAAAAAAATACCATGCTGGAAGTTGTAATTAGTATGAGGAGTGGCTCTTGGTAAGAGTTTTAACTATAAAAATTTTAGTTGTTCCGAGACACTCAATTCCAATATTAAAATGTTCTGTGGAATAGCAGATAAAAATCAATTAATTGGCACAATCACAAGTTTACAGCGAATTACAACTAAGTGTCAAACATTTTGCCATTGCTTTAAATACTGGTCATTTTTCCTTTGGTTACTTCCTACAATGCAGTATTTGGGGTAAAAAGACAAACAGTGTCAGCTTCTCACACAAAGTAAAGAAATTACTGCTGTTGACATTTAAGAGAAAAAAACTATTTCATCACTTGGTAAGGACATATAAAGTATAGTTTATTTGGCAGAGGAACTAAAACACTTACTACAACTCCAACAGGGAGCTGAGGAAAAACTACACTCTTCATTCTTCTCCTCACTTTCAACGTTTCTCATGAAGTTCAATTTGGAAATTACAATTTTTTCTAGGTAAGATCAGGTCTCTAAGTAACTGGCCCATGTGAAGTAAACACCACAAGATTAGGACCTGTTTGAGTTTCTTACTATTATCTGAATTCTCTTGTTAATTACCCAGGTTTAGGCATTATGTTCATAGTGACCTATGAAGTACTTCCAAGTTTTTGCAGACCTTAAGCTTACAAGTTAAGGCACTTACCATTCAAGTAAAACAGTTTTTATATAAACAAGTGTGGGAAATGGAGAGAACATTTTACCAGAACGCCCATTTTTTTTTTTTCTTGAAAGAAAAAAAAACGTTGACCAAATATTTATAAAATTTTGCATCAAGAGAAAGGTTGTGTTTTATTATCTGAAATGAGCACGAAATACACCTTCCACAATAACACTGAAAGCAGTGCAAAGACTGACAGTGACCTTTGACTAAAGGTAGTTCTGTAAAAAGAAAAATACCAAATAAATCAGTGCCCTGCTTTGATTGTTGTAAAATTTCATTTTTTTTTACATAAAAGTTGGTCCAAACTTACAAAAAAAGCACAAATGTGCATAGTTCAGAAGATCTGAAAGAGTGCCATAAAAAGCTGATGTCCCTAAATTTAGCATCCACTTAAAACTGCCAAAATACAAAATAAAAGTCAGAACTAGAGTTTGTGAACATGTACAATCAAGTCATCTAGTTTTTAGACAGCATGAGTTGTAAGCATTTTTAAATTTTTCCTACTGTATGCAAGACCCTTTTCCACATAAAAATAAAGCTGTTGAATTAACATTATTCAAGTCTGTTGAATTGCTGCTTTAAATTGCAGCTAGGGGGAAAAAAAATGTTTTTCCAGATAAAAATGATGTGCCTGAGGAAAAACAGATACTCAATATGGTAATCCTCTGCCTCGCCCTCTTACTGCAGATGTGCTAATGTGTCCCCTGTATCCCTGGGAATAGCCAGGTCCTTGGGCAGGAGAAGTCCAAGTCTGTCCATGCATGTGGCTGATGCCAGTGGGATTTTCCTGTAAATTACTTCCATAGCTATAGTTGTGAATCTTTGTGGGCAAAGAGTGAGCACTCTCTGGCCCTGTGGAAGCATCACTGCCGCTCCCCAAAACCGGGATTGGGCCATGGCTGTATTCAAACCTATGGTCTTTATCTCCACTGAACAGCATGGGGCCAGCGTTGAGGTAAATGTCTCCATAACCAGTTACTGAGCTAGGAAAGGATTCTGGAAAGGCTGATGGAGGAGGGGCAGCACCAGAGTGAGATGAAGCAGTACTGTAGTTATCCAAAGACTGAATATCTGAGTTTCCAAGGAAACTCCTCCTTTCTAATACTCCTGATGATCCGCTTCCTATTCCATCGCTAGTGCTGTAACAGGCAGATGAGAAGGACGATGATCCAAAGTTATCCTTGTAGTCTGGGCCTGTTACATAGGAGTCTCTAGCCTGATAATCCACACTCGTTTGTACTGGCTCCTCCGTTGTCGCCTGAGCTTGATGCTGAGCCAGCAGCTGCAGAAGAGCTGCTTTCACTCCTGCATGAGGATCTGTTCCTGAAGAGTTACTTATAGGCAAATGCTGATTCTCTGTCCGATAATCAAGGTCTTCATCAGTGAGCGGCGGAGGCTCCGGTGGCTCGGGGGGACGCTGGTCCGGAGGCAAGATCCGAGGGCGCTCCTGTTCAGGTGTTCGGTTCAGAAGTCTCATCTCAGACTGCCTAACCAAATCTTCTTGACCTAAGATAAAAGAAGAAAAAGAAAAGCCCTGGAATAAAAGTATACAAATATACAAGTATACAAATAACAGGACCAGAAAGAAAAGGACTCCTTCCTGGAAAAACATAGAGGTTTGATAATTTCAATTCTCATGAATTTATTAGTTAAATTTAGCAGTAATTACATTATTTTGGGCAAAATCTCTCTCAAAAACTGCTCATTTGCATCAGGAGCATGATGCAGGTTACTCCTTGAAGTAAGATTACCAGGCAGTCAATTAAAGAAAAACAGTTCAAGCTCCTTAAAAAAAGACGCCAACAAAATGAAACGACCAGAACAAAAGCAACACAAACAATAAAAATTCAAAGAAGGATAAAGATAGATTCACAGGATAGAAATCTCAAGGGGAAAAAAGGCCACTCTATCAAAGAACAGCAAAACTCAAGGTTTGAGATAAACACGAACAAAATAGCACACCTCTCAACCCACCCCCTCCCTCCCCCCAAACCCCCCAAGAACAGCCCCAATTCGGTTCAGAGTATCTCTTTTAACAGCTGGAAACACCACAAAACAATACATGAACCACCATAATAAATCTGAATTTGCAACCCAAAAAGATGAATAGAGCTCTAAACTGTGGGAAGACTACGGAAGCCACTACTATACCTCAATGGAAAACTTTAGCCATGTGTGTGTGTGACAGTTAATGGGTCACACACACACACGTGACATTGACACTAAGGAACTGCTCTAGTCAGCATTAAAACCCAAAAAAGAATACTGTCTCACCAAAATAAGCTTTACCTAAACACACAGTCAAAATTGGCAAATTATATCTACGCATCTGCTAGAAAAAAAAAACCTGTCTTCACCACCACACTCACCACTAAGAAAACCCCAACCCCTAGGATAGTAACCTAAACCACTACAATGTTTCAATACTAATACTTCTGTACTTCTTAGGTTGGGTATCATTGTTTGCTCTGTCTGCACGGCACCTGTTAGACTAAGAGACAAATTCTCTGAGATGTAAAATGTGACCAAATCTGTTTAATCTCCTATACTCGCACAGATTCATATGGCAAACATGTCAATTCTCTACTCCCAAATTATTACATCTCCAGTGCTCCAGGTATTTGCTGGTTAGCAATAAAGGCCTACAGTACCTGCAGACATGTATAATGACTTGATCAGATGTGGGTAGCCAGGTGCTGGAGATTCCACGTCATCTCGGCTGACAGACACAGGAGTTGCGAGCTCTGGAGGCTGCCTGAGTTGTAATGACATTTCATTTCCTGATCCATTTTCCTTGTCCTCCAACGCAAAATCTTTCTGTTTTGTTTGCTGAGCCTTTATTAACTGAGACAACAGAACAGCAAATGCACTCTGCACAGCTGCCTGGGCAGCATCAGTCTCAGCCTTAGGCTGACCCAGCTGAGCAGGTGGCACAGGGGGCTGCGTGACCATCGGCTGTTTTAGAGGCTCCTGCTCTGGAGGTGGTGGTGGAGGAGGCGGTGGCTGCTGCTGCTGCTGTTCTGACTGTTTTTCACCTGCTGACAAAATTCCAGCAGGAAGATTTATTTTATTTAGTTGCTGCTGAGTCTCTGGGTTTACCTTAATATTCAATACTTGGGCAAACTGTGCCAAACTAACACTTGTTTTAGACTGTAGCAGGTTTAGCAGGATTGCCACTTCATTCTGGTTTAACTGCTGTCCAGTGCTTGTTTTTGCTAAAGACAAAAAAGGTGTTTTTAAGTATTATTTAGAACTGGCATATTTCAGAAACTCAAAAGAAGACTAATCTAACATGGCTGACATGACTGGCAAAGCATGGGTTTGGACAACACAGAAATTGAAAGCTTTTACATATTAACTGTCTTTGGGGAGTATCTATAGGAAATGGAACAGTAAGATCCAATATAACCAAAGTGACTTTCATGAGGTGCACACATGCACTTGGACAGATGGAAAAACACCAAGCTAGAGCTCAATTTTCCACAATATAACTAAGTTGGGGCTTAAGGCCACCTGCTTTAGGCAGCTGTAAGACTTCCAATCCCCATAAAATTTCCTATCTTTGACATATCACAACTCTTTGTTAAAAAGTAGCCATCTGTAAAACCCATTTCCAAGTATATTCCAGCCCATTCTAATTCAGCATCTGGGTTTTAACACCTGCCCAAGTGACCCAGCTCTAGGTGGCCTAAGAGCTCACAGTATAAATGCAAAAAGAAGTGCTGACTTTGAGGGACAAGATGTCAATCCCTCAGTAGCAGGAAATACGTGATAATATCAGTTAATTCAATTAAATGGAGTTTGCCACAAATAAGAGCAATTATGATGATGCAGGGGAATATGAATAAGGAAGTTTGAATATCAAGGTAGCTTCTGAGCTTCAATCATCCACTGTGGTGATTTACTTTGATAGAAGTGAAGTAGCATGGACTGCAACGTGCCTTACGAGCAAATGACTTAGGGAAGAAAGCAGCTAGAAAACTGCAAAATGAGTGTGTGAGCAGGCTGGCTGAGCTCTGAATTCTTAACCCAGGTCAGCACAAACACATTCAGTCCTCTTCTATCCTTGCCATTGTTCTGTCTTACCAATATATTAATTCATAATATTTGCCTTGCAAGATTTAAGAGCAGCACAGCTGGAGAGTGCTTCAAAACCCACAACCCACAGCTCTACTTGTGGATGTGCACCAGGATATGAGCACTTGGAATCTACTTAAGCAGGATCCAGGGACTTCAAAATGTTTATGTATCTATATGAATATAATCCACCTTCTATTCAGCAATTAAAAAAAGAAATCACAATTTCTTATGCCTTGTACTGCTGACTCTCACTTAGACCTTGTGATTAACTGAAGATTTTCTCACATCTGTATATTCAACACTAAAACTTCTCTCAGACTCTCAGTGAAAATTCATCAGAAAAATGCCAAACAGGGAAACTAATCTACCTATTGCAAACTTTTTGGTTAGCTTTAAGTTCACTCTAACAGGAAACTGTATTCTAGGAAATTTGTCATAACAAAATTATTGAGCTCTCAACATTTCCTGTTAAATTGCAAAATGCAATAACCAGGGGTCCCATTCATGAATCAGAACATTAGCAATCAATACATGTCTTTTTAACCTCTCCTTTTGGGGTACTTAGAAAAAAATGCAAGAGTTTTGGCTAAAGCATGTATTTAGCCATGGTGTTATATAATGTGTCTTAGAATATTATCTAAGGTGCATTACGGCTTCCAGAAGTGTTTTGTTTAATACAGGAAATGCTTCTCTGCTCCACTGAAAATTTAATTGTCTTCTTTTCTAGCTAGATATATTTTTCTGTGTACGTATGTGTAAAAAGCAATATAGGTGTGAATGATTCCTTCTCCATTTGCTTAGGGTTTTTTTCCATAGTCAGTGTTAATGACTAAACAGCAGTATCTCATCAGGCTGTTACTTCATAAAAGCACAAAGAAGCTAACTATCCTTTTGGACTCTTTAAACTTCTAAGATAGTTTCACTGATGGGGGAAAAGTTACAGAAAGTCATTCTTGAAAATGCTGCCAAAACTTTAGCCTAAACATATGGATCTCACAGTTGGTTTACAGTGAGAAACCAGATGAATGGAGCAAGAGGCAATGAATTGCAAAAAAATAAGATCAAAACAACTACTTTCTATGTATCTTTGCACAGAATATTTGGAGCTCTTCTCTACTGTTAAACTAAGGGTTGATTCAAGATGGTTATAGTATTAAATCCAGCAGAATTGTCAGCTGCTATGAATGCACAGACTGTTTTTTAGCTGAACTCCTCTATCAGTGCCATAGGATTTATGGTTACTTTGCACAATTAAAAACCGTCTTGCATTCAACTTTCAGGTATCCATTTGGTGTTGTTATTCTTTGTATTTCTACATATTTTTTAAGAACTATCACTTAACTGCCGAGTATTTCAAATGGTCTCCATACTGGAACCATTAGGTTTTTTTTGCTATATTTGTAAAGCTTGTCTCAAGCAAGATACTTTGGTTAAGTTTCAGAATTATTGGCAGTACAATTCACAGAGGTAGATACTTCATGTTATACCAGATTCTGGGAGGGGTGGTTTTGGTGTTTGGCATTTCTTTGGGTTTTTTACAACTTCATTTAGCCCCAACAACCTGGAAAGCTGAAGACTAACATAACATGCAGATTGAATCTGTTCCATTTAAAATGACAATTGCTCTAAACTTTGCCTGCTGATCAGTTTATCAATACCAATAAAGCTTATCCAATCTATGGAGATTGTGACAAAATTAGAACAGCTACTGGCTTGTGGAATTACCAAAGAATTATAGATGAGCAAGAGCTAAAATCCCCTCAAAATGAAGAGCAAGCAAGTTAGTTGCTCCGACCAGGCTGAAAAGTTAGGTAAAAGTGGTAAGGAACAATTATTTTTCCAAAAGCAAAAGCAAATCTTTTTTAACAAAAATTAAACTTACAATACTGTTCCTCCCTCAAGAATCCAGGGGACGCCAATACTCTAACATCTAAAATTTCTAGAGGTGCAATCCAAGTAGTAGATAATTATAAGAACCGAAAATATTACTGACCAAGTGCTACACTAGAGCTGCCCTGAGTTTTGAGTTGGGAAGAAGTTTGCATGCCTTGTGGGGTGTTGGTTCTGCTCTCATCCATGCCTAGGGACAGATCCTTCCTAGGGACTTTAGCTGCTGTAGAGTCATCAGTCATGCCCATCTGCTTCTGTCTTCTGCGTTTCTTACTCCACAGCTCATGGCAATCCTGCCACAAAGGAAGGCTGCAAAGAATGATTTGAGATAATCAGTTTTATCCCTATTTTTAATACTTTTTTTTTTTTTAATCACACTGATTTTAAAACCACTTAAATTATACATAATATAACTCTTGAAAGATGAACCTACTGGAACTCAGAAGTACACCAGGAAACATTTAAAAGCCAGCAAAATATCAGACCTGCTTTTTCTGGCTGAAAACTCTTTACAGAGTGCCTCTTTCAGAAGCACAAGTCCTCCTGGCAGAAAAGGGGAGACAGTATCTTAAAATGAGAATTATTTTCCTAATTATCTGTGTAATTCAAAACTTTAAAATCAATGCTGCACAGTTGCTATGAAATACAGCTTGCATACTACTAGATAACTAAGTTATCAATATGAAAACATTTTTTGCAGGGTCCTTCTGTCTGCTTATGAAAGTATTGCTGAGTCAGTAGGTCACATATTTGTCCACAGTAATAGACATGGCTATCTAGTGTTTATAGTGTACAGCTCACCCAACCTAGAAAGTGGGTGGGGAAAAAAAAGGAAAAAGTTGCATGAATATATATCACTTGGCACTAGCAAAGCAGGGATGCCAGGAAGAACAAGGGGATATCCTTTAAGACGTATGAATGCAGAGGAAAATTCTCCTAAGAAACTTATCTGCCAGTAATTCTGTCCTTCCATTACAGTTCCCTGCAGGCATCTCAATTCTGATTTCCTGAGGAACGCAAAGACCCACAGAAATACAAAGACCCACAGAGCCACAAAGACCCACTGAGATGGGCAGCAACAATACTGGTTTATGTTTTCCTATTACTTATTAACTGTCTTGGCAGTTCTGTCACCCAGGAACATGGAAAAACTAGCTGACAAATGACAAGAGACTGAAAAGGCAATTATGACAACTGTTTCCTTTGTTCTCTCCCTCTGAAAAACAACTTGAAGCAAGAACTCATTGTGAGAAGTATCTTGTGGTCCTTCCAATCAGCATGTCACTTTCTTTGGATGAACAGCTCTCCTTCCCAAAACAGAACTTCAGTCTCTCAAGAGAACAGGCGACATTTTCCTGTGCTCTGCCAGAAGTGAGTGTGGCTCCTCCTAATTTTTAGAATGACACCAGTGACTAGTCTGTTTCGAATTTGCATATATCAGCTTCTAGAATGGATGTATTACCACATCCCTGAAGAAAAGATGATTTTCCCATTCACTTACTTTAAAATGCACATAAGCAACATGCTGCACAAGTGGTTCTGAAACTTCAGCAAACAGCTTGAGCTTGCTGATTCCTGATTTTCACACAGTGATATAGTCATATTCGGACAATGAAACCCTCTTCAGCTCATTTGCAGGAACATCAGTAATGTTTGCCCAGAGAGGCTGTGGAAAGGTTGTATCTTCTCACTGGAGATATTCAAAAACCATCTGGACACAATCCTGTGCCATGTGCTCTGGGATCACTCTTGAGCATGGAGGCTGGACCAGATGACCCATTGTGGTCCCTGCCTACCTCACTCATTCTGTGATTCTGTGTAACAATCTTGTGTATGTAACAGATAAGTCCATAAAGAATTTTAATAAAATCCTTAAATAAAAAGAAGTCAGTATAGGCTGCCTTGAAGATTCAGTTTACTCAAACAGTATCATAGATTCTATGTTCTCACAGCTATAATGAGGAAAGAATGAGAGCTACAAATTCTCTAGTACCTTTTCACTGTTTATCTCAGGAAATGCTCCAAATATGATTTGTACTGACTAAAAATGACTGCGAAGTCACTGCAAAAATTCTACAGGACACTGCAATACATTTCCTCTAGAGAAACTGACAGGAACAACCCTGCACAGTTTCACTTTTCCTGCTTGTAAAACCAAGGCTCTCATCTGGCTCATGAATCAATTCACTGTATTTCACTTTAACTCTCAGGTACCTGTGCACAACTCTATACCCAGTGTCATTCTATCATCAAAGAAAATTCAGATTCATGGAGGACCTCAAAATCCCTGGAAAAAGTAGACACTGATAAACAGATAAAAGAGAAATTATGCTCTTTAAATATTAGAAGCATTCATAGAAGAGTATTTTCTTTAAAGGTAGTAACTCAATAACTAGTTCTAGAAATGACAAATCAACTCTGTTATCTGTTACATAAGAGTCACTTAATTACACAAGCATTTTACTGTAGAATCACCTTTCAGTAACTGTATATGTCAACACTTCTGCCACCATCTCTTTTACTGAACCACAATGAACTTACTGAAATCAGTGCACATTCACATTTCCTAGAGGTCAGTGGCATTACCAGTGGAAATTACTTACTCTGGAGGAGGCATTTTAGATGGTTCCACATCTCGCAGAAACTCACACTGAAGAGCTTGTTCAGCTGTGCAGCGCTTGCTGGGATCCAGGGCAAGCATATAATCAAATAAATCTAATGCAGCTGGTGGGATGCTACAAAAGTGCAAAACAGAGGAAAGCATCGCATCTTTATTTTGTACCACACATGTGGAAAATTTTAATTAACATATCTCTTCCAAGATGATCATTAAGTCCTCAGGTAACTTATATAGCAATAAAATGCACCCACAACCTGAGCTTGATAGTAAGAAGCAGAAATAAACTTCACCTTTTACTACCTGTGCTATTATATAACCCAAACTTTCTTTGCCTTGTGTTGTTTCATTCCTTGAAACCTTGTCCTTACAAAAAACCACACCCACATTTTAAAGCCAAGGCTATATGGTTACTCTACATATTGGAATTTAGCACCAGGGAGTTGGACTTCTGATTGATTCCCAACCAATAATTCTATTGCTTCAAAGATATTAGTCTCTAGTATGAACAGGATTATGCATTTCTCTTGAAACCCACTGTACCTGAAGGAGGGGAACAACCCCTTTAAAATAAGCTTACAGCTGTTTTCCATACCTTTCACTTGCGATATATGCACAAAACTAGTCCAATGGTAGTACTTTAGAACATAATGGTTCAGGTAACTCCTCTGTGTTGAATGAGTTTATGACCCAAAAGACTGTAATGTTAACCAGACTACACATTTAGCTGTAGCCAGGTTTACCAATAAAAAACAATTAAGTACTCGAGCTGTTTTTTGGACAGGGCAACAAGCAGGTGTACCAAACAAATCCTTAGGTTTCCTTAGGTGAAAGCTGACAGGTGGCTGACATTTTAGAGCCTTCTTTCCTCTTCTTGGTGCTCCTATTAAATAAGGGTTAATACAAGCTCAGTGGGTATCATGGGAAGGAAAAGAACCTAAAGCCATTTTTCTTTACACTTGATCTATGCTTGTTCTCCAGAAAATACTGAAGTTCATAAAGTCTCTGGGAAAACTTAATGCTATTAGAGTTGACTAAACTAATTCTTCATCCTTACAAAGCAAACTCTTCTCTCAGTTTTCGACGATACTGCTTCTTTGGTTTCATAGTGTTGAAATAAGCTAATTTTATAACATCAGGCCATACTGCTGGACAAGGACTTCCACAAATTCGGCTGTACCAAAAAGAAGGGAAAAAAGGGTATGAGATCCAAAACCACAAATGAGCACAGCTGTCATTTTTATTAATGAAAGTACAGTGAAAACAAAAATAATTCTCAATTTTCATGTTCAGGTTATTTTTAGCTAAAATTTCTCCACTGTCAAATGCCCCACACCATTAAATAATGGTGAATTGTCTATAAAGGGTAATCACTCCACAGAGACTCAACTTACCATTTCTACCTCAGTCCAGCCTACACATCCTTTACACAAATATTTTGAGAAACCCAACCAACTACATCTGAAGGCTACTCCAGGTATCTGACTAGAAGAACTGAATAGCCCACATTTAGAGTACCTTTTATATCCTTAGCTCCCAACCCCACTGAAGAAAGATATACCAAATAACTGAAAAAGCAGTTTACACTGAGAAATTTATTTAATGCTGAAGACATAAGGGGAAAAAAACCCAAGCAATTCAGTAAGTCCTGAAGACAGAAAACACTAGAAAACGTCTATATTTCTTACTTCAGTTTTGAGTTTTATGTCTCAAGCCTTATCTATCTCAACAAATGGAGCTGCCCATACTCCTATGCTTCACATTCCATCCCCATCTTTTTTTCCAGCCAAGGATGCCTAAGCACAACTTGATCAACCCCACACTTCTGAGCACAAGAAATAATAAAGTATTTTCATATATGCAAGATTTCAAATTCTGATGCAGGCAGCCATAAAAGGACATTTTGCAAATACATTTCCCTAGTTCAGCCCTCCTTTTTCTAAGATTTAAATGGCTAGTGTAAGAGACCTAACGATCTTTTCATTATGCCCCAGGTCCTATGCAAACCACTCTGATTTTATGCTGGTTAGGGTATGTAATTTTCAGGAGGGAGAATAAAAATAATAAATCTCTTACTATCAGAATGTACTTCAGGTCTATCTTTGATAAAGTTTGAAAAGATAAATGTATAATTGTTGACTGCAACATGATCACAGCAGAAATGTTGATAAAACTGATATATTATGCTCAAACAGCAAAAAATGCATAGCATCAGTGAAGACGAGAAATGAGCTACAAACAGAAGCTTCCAGCAGAAGGACATCACAAAGTTTTAGAGTTTTGTACTAGAGGTAAAACACAAAGAAATAAAAACTTTGATTTATTCATTCTCATGTGCTTCAATGCCATCTAGTGCTCAAAAACAAAAATTCCCAAACTCACAAGTTTAATTCTTATGCCAAAAACAACCACTGGTCTTTTTTGTATCTCCTAATACCTTAAATTTTTCAGGCCAGCTGATAACATGTTACACAGAAACATGCTACTATTCAATCTGTTTTGAAAAACATCTCGATATATGACGTTGCAGGATCTTTTATTAAGTTAATTGACCATTTACTGTTCACCTTCTTTAAGTTCTGTAGGATCCACCCTCCTTTCCCCTTGTTTCTAGGAAGAGCACCTCTCCTCATTTACAATGTCAATTATGATATCAGAATCAAGAAAAAATTTTGTTTGCTGAATAAAGGGAAAGAAGATGATGCACTTTAAATCCATTAAAGTGGATTTAATTCCAATGAATTAAATACTTATCATTCTATGTTTCATTCAGAACAAAGAAAGAAACAGAATTTTTATCTCCACCAAACAAATGTCTGGCAGTTTGTAAGAGAACAGAAATATTCCTGCAAAAATAATAAAGCCCAGGTGTGTACATGGTAGGCTTGAAACAAGAACTCATGGGCAGCAGCATGCCAAATACCTGCTCCTCCCATTTGTCTCTGTTATTGTCCATGTTCTCATTTTGATTTGCTGCAAGTAAGTTGCAACATCATCTAAAAAATTACAGGCATTTTGATTACTCTCTTTTTACAATTTCAGTAATAGGCAACTCCAGCTACTCTACAAAAGCATATCTTACTCGTCAACTGTACACGGCTAGGAGCACAGAACACTCACAAAGGAACCTTCATGTCTGTGCCAAAGTCACTTGTGTAACATGCCCCTCAGAACCTTGAACATCTCATTTGGGGCACTAACTGAGCACTTGCAAGTATTTGCAGTGTGCTATCTCAGATTTTAACACTAAGAAACCCGTCAATTTAGGAGGCACCTACTACATAGCAGTGCTTGCTAGTTACCTTATGAGTTCCAGTTGAGCAAGTTCTTGATTGGCTTGAAATATTGGCTTTTTTGTAAAAAGTTCACCCAGGATACAGCTGTAAAACAGTTTTGCAAAATTCCATCATTATGGCTTTCAGCACAGATCGATAGAAACTTTAAGATTTATTTTTGGCTTTTTCTTATCCTTGCTATGCTTCTATCCAAACTCTTACCCACAGCTCCAGACATCAATAGCTGGTGTGTATCTTTCTTCCCCAAGAAGAAGTTCAGGAGGCCGATACCATAATGTAATAACTTTGTTGGTATATGGTCGGCTGTTGGAAGGAGGAAAAAGAGAGGACTATCATTTTAGTATGATCACACTTCTGAAAAAATTATACCCTAAGGACATTACTTCTGTGATGCTGTTTAAGAACAGTACAATCCTTCACTCCCTTTTAATTTTAGTCCTGCAGAGTGGTAACTCTACAAAAGCAAACACAATTGTCTGATGAAGGCTATAAAAAGTCAAATTGAAGATATAAATAGTAATCACAGAGCCACCTTGAGATGCTATCTGAATTTTGTGTCTCCGTTATTATTCAGAAAGCAATACTGTGTATTTATTACATTGCTAGTTATTTCAGGAGCAGAACCTGAAGATAAAACCCAATAACTTCCTCACAACTGTTGGCTATTATCATACTGAATATAGGACCTCTACAAGCACTTTAAAAAGAAGAAAAAAAAAAAGTCATTTTTCCCTCTTTAAGTATGAGCAAAAGAGATAAAAGCCTTTTTCTGGAACTACATTATTGACAAATTTTGATTCCAAAGCCTGGAATGCTTCTAGTATCTTCTTATATTTCACAACATCTTTAATTCTCCACAGCTCTATCCAGAAATTTTGGTCACTGTGAATAATCCTTTCCATCCTCTCACTAAAGCAATGAGTTCTACTAATGCAGACATTTTTTTTTTTGTGCACAGGCTGAACTACTCCATCAACTGTTCATAATGGAAAGCAGAAAAAGAGATGTTCAATTTTCATTTTGTTTCAACCAGGGTGCTTTAAAAGTTATTCCAGAATTCTTTCAGGTTTTCTTCAGTTTTTCATTGTTACCAACACTCAGTAACTCCAAACAGAAAGAGAAACATTAAGTATGAACAACCATAGAATGAAGCCTAACAAGCTCTTACAGCATTCTCAGTAGTACAGGTGTAATTTCTGTAAAATCATTTGAGTCCTTCTTTCATTAATGCACACATCTCCAATTCCTTTTTAGAAGGTAGCATGTTTTTTGCAAACAATCTGATAATTTATCATATTTATCTCTGAAGCAAGCATTCCTCTATGAAATCTTTACATGTTATGGACTGTATCTACAGATACATTGCTCATAGGTATTAGTATATGGTGATTTTTATTTGAACAGTTGTCTTGTCATGCAAACTGTCATATCTCCTACTCCAAACATGTTAAATCAGAATAACATTTAAAGGAGCACAACTACAACAACCAATGGGAATTTACTTAAATTTTTATTTCCTCTCCATTATGCCCCAACTAAGTTCTGTACCCTTTCCAACAGTATTAAATTCTAAACAACAGTAAACTAAATGCAAAGTACATGAATTAAAACAGCAGCTATTGTACAGTTGTTGATATACATTAATTACATCTATTACTGCAGGTCAGAAGGAAAATGAGTGACAAAAGAATTGCCAAAAATCTACAGAGAGTCTAATTATTTTCCCATGTTCAACTGGTAATTCTATTAGCTAGCCTAATTAAATCTTAATCTTTGTTTAGTTTATGCATAATGGCATAATAACGTTACTGTTTCATGTACAGTAAAATGGGTTATTGGCATTATAAGGACACTGAACCTTTAACCCTTAATGAATAGTGAGTTTTACAAACAAAATTTCTATTAATTTAAAAAAACCCAAGCAAAACATGGTAAACCAGAGGGGAAAAACATTAGGCCAGTTTGGTGCATGTTAAAACAAGAAGACAGGGTAACATCCTCTTATTATTAAGTACATCCAAACCAAGAAATAGATAGCAGATGCTTATGATTATTTCACTTTGCTATTATAGTCAACAGTTTTCATAACTGTACTTAAGCATATTTTCCTGAAATAAGAGTTCTGAGACAACAGCTCAGAGAAACTAATGCTAACACGTTTATCAAGAACCTAAGAGCTGTGTAGAAAACAAACTCATAAAGCTAACATTATGGGTATTATTTCCCAAATTAGACATGCAGAAATCAAAGTAAGCTCAGGTATCCAACCATCTCTATATCCAACCACCTCATAGACATACTACTGTAGTGAACATTCAGCCTGGATTCTGAAAAGCCAGTTCCACATTACAAATACTACATTACAAAGTAAATACTAAAGTTCTTAAACCATAAAAATCTGTGCACCTGTTTTCTAGAGTATGAGCATAATGAAGCCAAGAACAGAAGCACAAGTCATGAGAAGTTTCAGAATAACTTTTATTTAAACTTGTATCTGTGTTTCCAGCAGAGTCAACAGCACTGACTGCCTAAAGAATACAATGAACTCCTTGAAATGTAAAGTTTAATTTTACACAAAAGTAATGCTTATTGAATAGGAACTGTATGATACTTTGTGTCAGCAAAAAAAAATAATTTTGCTTTCCCTAAATAACACTTTCGGCATACCAAGAGAAGAAATATATGTCAGGTTTACAGGACCAGAAACTTAGGAGTGCAACTTAATTTCCAATCAATGTATGGCCAGTCTCTACCATTATTTAACCAGAACACCTGGAAAAGCAAAACACTTGCACAAAGAAACTTTTGTGGTTTTATGCAGTGTAAGACAACATGTATTTCTTTTCCTTTCCTAAGCAATTATATTACAGCACAATAACATTGCCTCTAAACAAAAGTCTGTCCTTCATAATAGTTATGCAAAAAGATTTAACTTCTGAATGTTATTTCACAGTACAATTGTATCTTACCTTTCTTCTGAGTTGTACAGCCGAGCAAGCCCAAAATCTGCAAGCTTTATCTGCCCTCTGGTGGAAAAAGCAAAGAATTATTTAGTGTTTAATCCTGTTAAGTTTTCTTCCCTCAAAATCAGGTAAAGCTTAAGACTGCAACAGCTGCAAGTGATCTTCACCAAGCCACATTAATGAAGAGGCAATGCTTTGCTATCTCTTCATCTCTTCACTAAACAGCATGCTAACTTACTGAATAGCAAAGACAAATAAGGAAAATTAGGTATGCTTATCAAATGGCATTTACATTACTGGATATTAGTCAAAATTTAGGTCTATACCATAAAACATTCTAGTCAGTAACTGTGCAGGAAAAAACTGAGTGAAGAAACTGCTATTTTCTCAGGCCTTACTGCTAGCATGAGCATTTGTACAGCAAACAACTATCAGCAATCATACTTCCTTCTAGGAAGCCATCAAAGTCCTGTTCTGCGCTTATAATTTTAAATACGGCCTTTACATCAGGGTGACCAACCAGATAAGGGCCTCTATTTTTGCCAGCAGCCAACTTGCTGAATGACATAACCCCTAACCTGTTCCTGAGTTTTTCCATATATGAGGGGAAGAGTAGAAGATACTTGCCTGGCAGTTCTCACAGCTAAAAGGAACTGCCCTATGACCAGAAACTCATACTATTTATGTACGAAGTCCAGATGATTCAAACAGAAAGTTATCTGCAAGCTTCTCTAATACATAAAATGAATGTTGGACTGTTATATGTGGTTTTCCTTTTCTGTACTGATAAACTTTTATAACTCACATCACTTTCAAATATATGGGTTTTTATCAAATTATGGCAAGATTTGCTGCTAGCATGACAATTTTGTGGTAACAGCAGGTACATGACCATTCTGTGATAATAAAATATACAGGTTATAGTTTCCATCCACTTTTCTCAGACATTTACTCTGATTTCTTGAAGAACACCCATAAACAAAGAAATGTTCCCCTCAAATTTATGTGTTTATTTCTGAGAATGTATTTGCAGAAGAAAAATGTATATGCTCAAAAATTTATTGAAGGTGCCCATGTAAAAGATACATAATCCATGTTTGGCTTCAGGCTGTAACTAGTAATAGGATTTTTGAAATACTGGCTTAAAATTATTCAGATCTACTACCACATTTTTCTGCTACTGGTAGAAAAATCTAAGGATGCTCAGGCACTACCCTAGGGGGGAAAAAACCCAATTCTGTAATCTGCATTGAAGAGCACAGTGAAATAACCAGCTTCTCCTCTACCATAAGGCACTCTTCTCCACTGTCAGCTTCTGAGTTCCCAAAGGTCTGCACAAAAACACTAACCCTGGAGATTAGCAGGTAATAAGATTATGTGTGTGGGCACAGTGAGTAATGGGGAGAAACAAGTACATGTGTTTAAGAATCTGTATCATAATCTGGCAAAGCTGTAGTAGGATACAGAGCTGAAAGTAGTCTAGTGTTAGTTGGCTCTAAGAGAAAAAGGAGGAAGAAACAGAAAATTTGATTTGGAGAAAGCTGGGAGAAAACTAGGCCTATCAGAAAAGCCCCTTGATCAATTTTCCCCAGTATTTCATCTCCAACAGCAGCAGTAGATTTTTAGGAAGAACATGTGAACCCACTCCTTTGGGGCTCACCTTCCTCATACTTAAACATGACCCACACTGTGTTAAGGATACTAAAACAGGGATCCCTGTCCATTCCCATTAGCAGGTGTTAATGATCCTACTCTTGAATGTGTCTCATCTTTGAAACTCCTGACACTACCCAGAAAATTTCCGGTGACAACAAATCCCAGGAGCTGACGACCTGCTCTTTTTTTAACTATACCTTTTCTTGCTGCTATAAATCTTGCTCTTATGCTGCTCCCTGGATTTAGTACTCCAGGTTATGATGCACAACAGCTGGTAATGAAGTCATCCAGTATCTTCACACTGGCTTTTTATTTGTTGCTGCTGCTGCTGCACACTGAAAACACCACACTTACTAATATGATTTGTAATTATCATGTCTTAAAGTAGTAAGAAACAAATTATTCTCCCCCTTTGATTATAGCAATAACTGCAAGTTAAGGCATATTTGAACATGCCTGATCAAAAACTCATTTAAAGCATTATCTTGACTGATAACAACAAGGACCTCAGAACTGTCATGAAGAACCAGCCTAGCCACACTTCAATCTTGAAATGAGATGGCAGAAAGAATACACATCAAACACTTACATCCTACAATTCTGTTACCATATATTTGAACTCAAATAACTTCCCCCCAGTACTCTGACTTAGAAGGATTAAAATGGAGTCTTCTCTTTTAACACAGATTTAGTTTAATACACAGCTGCAGGCTCCAGTGTTAAGCAGGAAGATTACTGGATTAGTATTTTGCAATTGATTTTTAAGGAAACGAGGCAATTTAGAAAATAAGTTTTGCTAATTACTCCAATCAGGTGAACTATGAAGACTGAAAGAACGATTGAAAGATGTTGGTAACATACAATTTTTGTTATGTACTTTTAATTAATATCCATACCTATTATTTAGTAGAATATTTGAACATTTGATATCTCTGTGCAAAAAGTTCTTCTTGTGGCAATAGGCCAAGCCCTCCATCAGCTGTCTCATAAAAGACTTAATATGATTTTCATTAAAATGAACCAAACCAGATTCCAGCAGTCCCATCAAGTCATGGTCCATATATTCAAATACCAGGTAAAATGCACCTACAAAAAGAAAGGGAAAGGGTAGGAGAAACACAGACTGAAAAACTGATTTGTCAGCAGTCCAAAGCAATGCTGTTGCCTACTTTTTAAAATCAGATGCATTTTTCATACAACCGTTTAGATTTTCTGCAGTATTTATAGCTGTATCTCATGTCCAGTGAAATATAGTACAAAATTTTATAGTACAGAAATTTTAATAAATTGCTGCTGCATATAAGCGATTATACTAGCCAAACATTTGTGAAAAGCAAAATAATGTTCCCACATGGTGCTTTAGTCTAGATAAACATGTGCTCTCCCTACAGCCTTCAAGCTCCATCCATTTTATTTCAAGAAAAATTAAGTGTGGTAATATTATCTACGTAAAGTTTGGAAAGAAATCTAGAAACAAAATTGGTACAAGCATTATTGTGCACTATTATTCATCGTCATGATTCAGTGATTAATGTTTTTAAAGATTTATAAGCAACTGGGTCACAAATAAGCTTGCCTTTCTCAGACTAAAAATACCTGTAAAACAGGATGAAATGAGAAAGCAGAACTAACCTACTAGTAACAGCAGCTCTGCAAAGACATACTTCATATTTTAAGTTGCCACATGCATACATTAAGCACAAGAGAACCTGTTCTTATCTCACATCAACCTGTATAATTCTACCAATAAAGCTATTAAAGCAAAGGCTCTTTGATACATACAAGCATTCTTAAAGAGGCAAAGTGCTGAGTAATTCAGAAGTAGCAATAATCAATTTCCAACACAACCATTCCCAGTACAATCTACTTTTTAGTACTTCATTCTTTCCCTTCTTCACCTTAGGACACACAGAACAGTACAGCCCCTGCAGAGCAAAGGAAGCAATGCAGAAACCACATTCAAGTGGGTCTGTCTACCTTGCATTTCCAAAACCTCCTTAAATCTACCACTACAAATAGCTTCTGCCCAACAAGAACTCATTACACATTCTTGTTCCTAAAAAACAGTCAAAGAAATAATGAGAAATTAGCTTGACAGAAGCTGTACACATACGTGGACGCATTCTAAAGAACTGACTCCTTTTCTTGTTTAGTAGCTGAAAAGGGTAAAAAAGAATGCTAGGTCCATCTGCTATTGAGGAAAAGGATTACTCATACCGTAAGTGTTAAACTTGTAAAAACAATCAGCATACATTAGCTAAAGCACAGGTCATTGCATAAGACATTCAAGAGTTCATTGTTTTTGACTTGGGTACTTTTGTCCTGTTGTGTATTATACAGAGGAAGCAAAAAACTCATTATAAAATAGCCCTGCTGCTGTGTACAGGGGGGATGAAACAGGAGGCGAATCAAGCAGTTAGTTACAACACAATCCCACCCATCACTTCACAAGGAGAGAGGGAAGTATTAAGAGCTATGAACAATCAAAATTCTGCTGTGTTGCTATTTGCATAACTGAGTTCACTGATCAAGTTCACCAGTTCAACACAGAAAAGCATGGAGGCTCCTAATCCTGGTCTTTCCAAATTGGATAGCTGGCAATCTGCTGTTACATCTTCAATGATGACTGAAGTATAAACCATGACATATTTTAAAATGCCTCGAAACAAAACACCTGATATTAGTGCTGCAGTGTCAGAATAACCTAGATATGCCCTTCAGAGGATGTCAGTTCAATGAAACTGAATGAACACCAGCGTATCTTGGTACTTTCTTTCTCTGGAGTGCAAGAGAAAGTTAAGTCTGTCATGGCAGCTGGTTGTATGTGTGCATATTACAAGGAGAAAGATTGACTGTAGAACTGTTTAGTGAGGACAGCTGAATGGAGACCTCTTGTTTATATGCAAAGCAGGATCCATGCTTTGAGCAATTTCCTGCTCTGTCACTAACTCCCAAGATTTTATCATTGTTATTTATAGCCAGCAATCAAAATCAGTACCCTCATGCAAGAGGGAAAGCTGACAACAGTGAAGATTCATAAGCAAAGTAGAGTAGTACTTGCGAGGTGATATCTAATTATTTACATTCTCTGCAACTCTTATCGTTATGTTATTCCACCTGATAATTTCAAATCTTCATCATTTTTCATCACATTGGGGGATTTGATCCTCCATAAAAGGGAAAGCAGCTAGTCATTCAGAAAGGAGGACACAGTCATGGAAGACAGCACAAATTAACTATGCAAAGGCAGAAGCGTGCTTACTACAGCTTAGTCTGAGCTCAAGCACACTCCAGTTCTATCAAAACAAATGCCACACAAATATCCATTTCTCAAAAAAGGAAAACATAACAGAAAAAATAGTAGTTTCTTCTTTTATGAGGGCAAAACATTATGTAACTTGGAGGTTACATTTTAAAATTATGTTTTGCTTGATGCTAGCTTTGCCCAGTCCTCATTTTGGGAAACAGTATCATAAAAACACCCAAAGCCCCTTCATAGCGAAGTGCATGCAATTCAAATGAACTCAGAATTATTTACTTGACTTTAAAGTTCCTCATCTTACTGCTGTTGTGTTGAAGACCTGCACTTCCCCCCTGTGGGGTGGGAGAAAGCCTACAGTCCATTTCCATACACTGCAACAATGCACTGACAGAGGGGCTGTGTTCTGGGTGGCCTGGCCCATTTCCTCTGCCAACACCACAAAGCTCATCTACTTTCCTTCAGCTACTGAGATAATCAGAAATCTTAATGTCACTATGTGTTGACAGAGCAGCAGCTGGAACAGCTGAACAGCAGAAACACAATAGGGAGATGTAGGGAGATACACAATAAATAAAAGATTCACA